TACTTATTATTGAACTCTTCTAGAAACAATACCCACGTCACTTGATTACTTGACATTCTCATGGTGACATTTGTCCACTATACCCTAGCTTGCCCACGAAGTAACGAAACTACTCCGTCTAACTTCTCCACTTCAGAACAGTGGAGACTTTCTAACATGATCTTCACATCATTTAACCAAAGGTTCGCAGTAACATGACCTTCTTCAGCTTCACCCTTGAATTCGGGTGCTCCTAACCCTTTTATCTCTTTCGTTACATTTATTCTAGGAGTTGAGGGAACATGAGGTTAGAAACGCATCAGAATAGCGTTCAACATCCTGAAAAACACCCCCTGATCTTGTACAAGCACTCTCTGATGTGTCTGCTCTTCACCTTACTTGGCCAGGGCAAGTGAATTGCTACTACCTTCATGACCTTCATCTACCGCTTCACTTCGGGAGCTCTCGTGGTCAAACATCTAATAAAATATAACAATTCAACTATATTATCAAGAAATCACACTCCTTACACGACGAGATAAAAAATTTCACTTTTTGTTGGCATGTATATTTTTTAAAACAGACTTGACTTCGGTTTAAGCCTAGAATCAACTAAACCATAGCTCTGATACCATTAAATGTAACACCCCCAACTCGTATATGACCCAGATACAAATATGAGGAATCACATTGATTTTTCAAATCATTTGCTTTTTCAAGATAATTGAAAATTTAAACTTTTATTGGTATAAAAGTGATGGAACCCTTGATCAAACTAAATAAGAAGATTCAAACTTATATCCAAAATAAAACTTAATAATTTACATAATTAAAGTAGAGCTTGTTACAACTCCAATAGAGCATATGCGATTTAAACCTTTAAATTACATGTCAATATATTTAATACAACAAAATGACATACTGCAAATAACTTCTAATATGATCTTCTTGTATAGATGTGTTGTCTTGTAGGATCCTATCTTTGCTCTTTCTGCTTCTTTGTACCTACGTGTGAAACACTCACATGCTAAGTCATTGACTTAGTGAGGCATATATGCATAAATGAGACATTAAAACATGCAATCATATACTTAATTTATATAGACAACATCGTGTACAGAAACCATTATGCAATTCATCGAACAAGACATATTTAACATCATGCACTATTCATTCATGTTATTTCTTTTGATAGCCCATGTACATCATTGAGAACTTAAGGTATGTGAGTGCATTGAGGTTGTGCACTAATGTTGACACCACAACTCATATAAATTGCACTGAATTACCGCGTAGAAATTGCACCAAAGTGTCACATAGAAATATCCCGAAGAACCACATAGTATTATCCCGAATGACCACGTAGAATTATCCTGAATGATCGCATAGAACCCTCGACTCTTGGAATGTCAATTATACCTTTAGCTCTCATATCACATACTTTTGAGCTTTATCATTTATACTAGTTCATAGGTTATCACATAGACATGTATTCACATAAATCATGTAACACATAGGATGACATGTAACACATAGATCATGTAGAACAATGCATATAACACTTAGACATACGTTTGTATTCATGTACACATATAAACCATTTCAACAATATACTAGTATTCATGAAATCATGAAATCAAAACATTGGAAATAGACTCATCGCAAGTCTTATTTCCATATAATCATATATTATAGTAATATGCACTCGCCTTGGCCTCACTTAGTCAAAGCAACACTTATAACTCTTGAACACTCTTATGACTTCGAACGTCCTGAACTTGCCTTAGTTTGATATCTACACAATAATACGATTGGTATAAATATCAAAGTTCGTATCATTATAATTAATCCTTAATAACATAAGCTAAACAAAGCACTTAATTCACAATTTCAATCTAAATAGTATCGGTACCCAAGGTACAATATCGATACTTCCTTACTGTGGTATAAATACTATACTTCAGTATCGTTACCCTTTCTAGATTCTAAAATTACATCTCTAAAAATGGTATCGATACTTGTCCATTAGTATCGATACCCTTGGTATCGATGCTATTCCTTCGGTATCGATACTATTCTTCTGATTCATATCATTTCATCTTATGGTATCGATATTGTTCTTCCAGTATCAATACCCAAACCTAGATTTTTTATTTATTTTGCCTTGAAGTATCGGTACTGTTCATCCAATACTGATACCCCATGCCCAAAACATACTCATTTTAACACAAACTTTACCAAACACACTTAAATCTTTCACTTTAACCTCCATTCACCCTTTAAATTTAACTACTTATTAAAACTAACTTATATCACTTTAACATACTTAAACATCTAAAATCCCACAACATTACTTGAAACTAAAAATCTTACCAAATATTCAACATGTTCCAAATCTATTTCTAACACTTTAGATTTCTTATCCCATTTATGACAAGTTAAATATGACTTCAAAATCCATTTACTAGCTTTTTCTCAACAATTTACTCAAAAACCCTTTTTATTCAATCACCCATAACTTGTAAATCTTTTAGTTTCTATTTCTCTTTAAGTTTTCTTAAGCTTTCATAACATCTCTTACCTTAGATATGAAGATACGGTAGAGAGGAGGAAGAAAGAATGAAGAAAAAAAGGAGAAAATTTTGGATTCCTCTAACTTTTCTCCATGTGGATATATAATACCCCATTAAGGAATTTTAAATTCATTATTTGCCAAAAGACCAATATGCCCCTTCTTCTTTCAATCTTTGCTAAACAATCCTACAAAAAAATATTCCAATTAAATCCCTGAACTTTTCAATTTATCTAAATTGACCACAAAATTTTAAAATCTTACACTTTGGTCACTAGCCCGATTTTTGGGATGTTACACTGTAGCATTTACCGTATATCACAAAATAAATTTCTTGTTACCCTATTGGGCTAAATAATCCACCCGCATTGATTCTTTTCCCAATTCTGCCTCAAAATCATGGTTTTCATAACCGGACCGGTTAGCGAACCGGCCATGCTACCGGTTCACTGGTTCAACCGGTCGAATAGGTCCGACCGGTCGGAAGAACCGGACGACGTCATAATTATTTAAAAAATTAAATAAAAATACCAAAAATATTTATTAAAAAATAATTTTTTATATCACAAGTCATATTCAAAGCAAGTCATAACATATATAAGTTAAAAACCATAAAATCAAGTGAAACAAAATGATTCAAATTAACTACAACATAATATTTAAGGTAAAACATATTAAATAATAAATATAATTATATAACTATAATTAAAAAATAAATTTGGTGTAATATCCCAAATTTTGTCTAGTGACTAAAATATAAGTTTAAAGGTTTAGTGGCTAAAGTATAAACTTTGAAAAGTTTAAGGACCAAAATTTGTAATTTTAAAAAGGTGTTATATATTTTAGCCTGTAAGTGAACAGTTTGGATTAAAACACATTTTAGTGAGAATCATATTTTTGATACGAGAATTATGTTAAAAGATAGAAAGAGTAAGTTCGATATTGAAATCGAATATTCAGATTTGAATTGGAATTTTACGAAAATTGAAGGATGTTATAAAATGGTTGGAAATATTATTTATATATTTTAGAAAAGAGAAATTTAACATGGATCAATGGAATTAAGGTTGATTTTTCATGTTAAGCCAAAATTTTAGAATTAGATGACTAAATTGCAATTAAGGGATTTGATGATGTCATGGAGTGGCATGGATGAAATTATTAAGTTTTATTAAGGGCAATATGATAAAGTGTATTTAAATGAATTTAATATTCATTTATATTATATAATGACAAGTGTATTAAGGGATAGGGTCTAGTACATTCAAGAAAATTTTGTTCTCCTTCCTTTTCCAGCCGTGAGCTCCATAGCCAAAGGTAAGCTTGTTTTTCTTTTCATTTTTGGTCTATTTTAATTAAATTTTGGACTAAAGTGTGCAATAGAAAAATAATCCCATTAAATTCTCTTTCATTTGGTAGTAAAATCCCATTGTTTCCTTGCTTTAATAGTGAAGTGGGTGATTATGGTGGATGAAGGGGTGATGAGAAATCAATGAAATTAGATCTGGTTTTGATGTTGAGTGTATTATGGAAATCATGTTCTAGCATAAAATGTGATTTGGAAACCATTAGAGGGACTAATCAAGAAATTCGACCATTAGGCATATTCAAGTTAATTTATGGAATTTCATGCGAAGTAAAGATAGTATGTGAAAGGCATATGGATTTTGTTAAGTTATTAATTGGGTTCTGATTGGAATTAGATAAAAAAAATGAAATTATTGAAAATGGGGATTGTTGCCACGTTGGAATTTGTACTCTGGTAGTCATGAGATTTCAGTAAGTGAATAATTGCGAGGTTTCTGACAATGGCAAGCAAAAATACAAAATAACCGGTATTATTGTTTTGATATAATTGCATTAAATGTTGGCATCGGCGAATTTTTATTAGTTGTCACGATAATTCTGACTCTGTCAATGATTTCAAAGTGTTAATTCCGGGATTTCAAAGTGTTAAATTCATAAGTTCCAAAGTGGTATTACTACCTTCGAGCACCTATTATTTCAGTTTCAGGTGCTATGGCAGTTTTACAGTGATACTATGGTTTAGTTTTTGTTTGTTCATTTTTATAGCAGAAAGGGTAACTGTGTTTTAGAATGTTGAATTGAGTTGATTTGGAAGGTTGTATGGGATTTAGAACCTATTTTATAAGTTTTGGAAAGTTAGGGATGAAATGTAAAAGTATAAAGTTGAAGAATCATATTGGGAATAATTATTTATGGAATTGAATAAGTGTTTCAATAATGTTTGAAGTTATAATGGAGTTAGGAGTTTGGTTGATATTGATTTAGTTATTGATTTTATTTTATAGATTTTCAAATGTCAAAATGAGCTTATATTAGTACGATACTAATATGTAGTTCGAACAATTTTTGTGTTATAATTTGGTATTGTCAGACTACGTTAAATCTAGCAATCCAAACGATTCGAAAGGAAAGGACAAAGCTCATGATTAGGATTATTATATACAAGTTCTGTAGTGAGGCAAAGGTGAGTGCATTTTACTTACTCTATATGACATGAGGAAGACTTGCGATGAGTTAACCTCGAATGACATGAAAATAAATTGATTTCAATTTATTTTATTATATTTCATATTATTTCGTTTGATGATTTCTTATAAATACTTTACTATTTAAATGATATTTGAATTTGATGGGAAATTTAATTGTACGTCTATTGAGATTTATATTGTATTATACTTATTTTTGTTAATGTTTAAAAAATTTTTGATGAGTGAATGATGTATGATACTTGATTTTGATGATATTTGAAAAAGATTCTGATAGGTGAATGATAAATGATTTAAAGAAAGTGCCCATTGTAAATGCATTGAGAATCATGGGTATAGAGGGGAGCATTTAGCACGTCTGACGTCTTTGTGACTATGGTGCTACGATTGATGATGATTTAGCACGTCTGACGTCTTTGTGACGGTGGTGCTACGATTGATGATGATTTAGCACGTCTGACGTTACAGATGTAACGGTGGTGCTATTTATGTGTATGCTCGTCTGACTCGAATACCTTATAGTCTTAATGGTTTACATTGGGCTATGAAATGAAATGAAAAAATGAAAAATATATGCTATGAGATGAAAATGGATTATACAAGCTACGAAATGAATAAAATAAATGATACATGCTATAAGAATGAAATAAGAAAGTCTTAAAAGTGTTTGATTACAAAAGAATATGGATTGATTATTCTGTCTGATATGATTTATTATGATTTTGTGAAAATCATCAGATGATTCTTTTCAGGTTCCTGATAAAGTTCATCTTGAAATATTCGGTTTGAACTTCTAAAAATTTAGTTTGCTTTATTTTTAATGGTTATATATATATTTTTGATATTTTTTTTAGTTATTCTCACCTTTAGTATTACTGCCTCACTAAGTTATACTTAACGCGTGATGATTTTCATGCGTAGGGTCTGATTGAGATACGAACGATTTATGAGGAGCCTTCCAAGCATCATGTGCAAATCATCTATAATACCAGTAATCAGTAAGACATCATTAAATTTTCTTTTGACTAGTAGTGGCATGTATAATTATGTCAGTAGTTTCTATTTATCGTATTTATTTTAAATAATTTGTTATAGTAAATTAGAACTACTTTAGTTTATTTTACTTAGATTAGTTTTATCAGTATTTATGCATGAAAAGAATATATATATATATATATATTATGTTATTATGTTTTTAGAAGATTTCACAAAAAGACGTGGTTTAAAAAAGCTACTGATTAACAAATGAATTTATTTTCCTATGTCAAAGAATAATTTATAATTGAGATATACTTTAAAATAGATTTTTAAAGTTAGATTAAGAGTGTTTTCAAATGAAACAAATTTTTAGGCAAATTCAGTTCAGTAAATGTCTTTAAGTTGATGTGATATCTTTAACTCGTATATCGAGACATACGGGTTTAAGGTGTTACATTTGGGGTTAAAAAATCATAACAAAATGATATTGTTTGGTTTAATTTTTTTAAAAAGCAATCTCACATGGCTAAGAAACATAAAAGAGCATCCCAAAAGTCTAAAGAGTAAAAATATGAGAACAAAACAATCCACATTGCTAAAAAACATAGAAGAGCATCACAACTAACTTCTATAAATAATAGAGATAATTTGGCATTTAAAATCATGGAGCCTTTTGGTGAGCATTGAGTGAACTATTCTTTCACTTCAATCAAGCTCGAATTTTAGACTTCAATCGAGCTTCTAAATTTTTTTTAGTTCAAGCCTTTTTGAGTTCAAGTTTCAATATTATATTTCGAGTTTGAGTTGAACTTGATAATTTTTAGCTTGTGAGTTTGAGTCGAGTTGATCTTACTTTTAAAGTTTTCAAGTTTGAGTCGAGCTTAGCAATACTCGAGTTCGACTTGGCTCGTTTAACAAACGACGTTGTTTGGTTTAATTTTTTTTTAAAAAAAAAACAAAATTTTCGGTTTTTTTCGGTTTTCAGCCGGTCCGATTCGAACGGTTCAGCAGTTCTGGCCGGTTCGCTAGTAGTGGTTCAACCGGTTTAGATTAAACCGGATAGCACACGGTTCCCGTTGAATGGCCGGTCCGGTCCGATTTTCAAAACAATGCTCAAAATAAATCACTTAAAATCATATTGCTGTTGTTTCATAATCTTGCAGATCAAAGCATGACCTTGATTCTTTTCCCAATTCCGCCTCAAAATAAATCACTTAAAATCATATTGCTGTTGTTTCATAATCTTGCAGATCAAAGCATGAGCAGGGCCTCCAGCCAGTAAAACAAGCAGGAGGCCATCAAAAGAAGCTAGAACAACATTTGGTAAATTCTAAGAGGAATCCATCAAAGGTTCTATAAGCAGGAGATAAAACAATGCTGCTCCTGTTTGCTTAATAGAGAGATCTTGGGATTGTGATTCATACCGAAGAGTGGGAAGAATCAAAACTTTGAAGCAATAATGAATTCATATGGGATACGCATATGACTGATGCAGTTTGCAATGGTTTAAAATTACTATATAATTTTGTGTTTTGAGTATATGTTTTGTCCTTGTTCGGTGAAGATAAGTCGACACTCAAGAATGAGCCTGAAGTCCCTGAACTAAGATTCGAGTTTAGCAGGCCTTCAGCATCGACTATAGCTAATATAAATGGCACAACACCGTAGCCAGTGGTGGCTTTTGGATCATTGATCGTATTGTCACTGTTTTTGGCTTTTCCTAATTCCCACCATCCATAAGTGATTATGCACTCTTCACCCCAGTAGAACTATCTCATCTGTACGAGTAATGTAACCAGCCATCAAACTCTTACCATGGGTTGTCCTCAGCTTCGGTGTCAACTCATGGAATCGGTCTATTTCTGAGTGTGGCATGTTGGTCCAGTACCTAGCTTCTTCTTCTTCAGGATTAGAGCCATTAGAACCATTGCTTCCCAGCTTAACTATTGAACTCTTATTAGTAGTAGGTGATGAAGAGAATATTTCCCCATAAGAAAGTTCAGAACACTGAAGAATGATTATGATAGAAACCTCCAACCCAATGATCGATAGTAGCTTTCTGACCTCATGTCGAAAGAACCTTTGAGTTAGGGCAAAGATACACACGTCACTCAGTAGCAGAGTTGAAACGAATTTATGATTGAAACGGATATCTATCTGTATAAATGGATTTAGGAATGATAAAAATCCATAGATCTTGACTTACTTTACATTATGAGGTCAATGTTTTAAAAAAAATAACCGATATTTGATTAACTAAACAAAGAGTCGGATACAACCACTGCGGATATATAATTCGGTATAATAGTCTGGAAATCTAAAGGCGTAACTGACATAGAAGCGTAGTTTGCAAGAGTGTGTGCTACACCATTAGCCTCACGTCGGACAAACCGGACTATAATATTTGGATGAGCTTCCAGGAGTTGGCGTAGTTCACGCGGTAGAACTGGAGAGTGGAGCGATCTATTGATGGGTTGTTAAGCTGATGAACGACGGTCATGGAATCACAGTCAATGACAACCGTGGAATCCCCGACGTCTAGCGCCATACGAATGCCATGAGACAGAGCCAGAGCTTCAACTAAACTTGACTTACTTTACATTATGAGATCAATGTATTTTTAAATATGAATTTGGATAGATTTTATAAAATAGAAGATTAGATTGAGATGGAGTTGAGTTTAGAGTAAAAATCTTCTATCTGACCGAAATAATTATTATAGTGCTGCTCGTCATGCGTAACGGAAATAAGATTGCAGATGCTTTGGCAAAAGTTGTTACTTTCGATAATTTAGAGCCCATCTTTTTTCAAACCCCAGCGGTGTTGATGTTACCATCTTCTGCCGGAGGACAACATGGCTACTTTGGATGCTAGATAACTTTGGGTTACTGACCTGTTATTCTTGTTCCTGGATTTGTAATTTAGGTTAAAGCATGTACTCTTTTCCTCCATTTAAATTTAGGGAGGATTTCAATGAAACATGTGTTAACTCTCCCCTATATGATTTATCATTTACAAAATCATACGATTCACTGGAAAAAAATTATTTTAGTGTTGCAATATTAAGAGATAATTATTATAATATTTGCTCTTTCTTTATTTTTAGTTATCTTTATATATTAAAGAATAAAAACGAAGAAAAATTATTTGTGTTGAGTCAGATTGAAAAAAAAATTATCTTAAAATTCAAAATGAATTTAAGACGTCATCAAATATCAAGATGAAGACGAATTAGAATGAAATGCAAATTTTCAATTTTTGAATACCATCTAACTCATCTTGAGAAAGGGTTAGTTTTTCTTGTAAGAGTGTGGAGAGAGCAATTTGTCAACCTTTTGCTTCATTGCCCATTAATGGGTAAGCTACCACATTGCTTTGATTTTTCCTTTCAATACAATGCCGTTTATCAACTCATAAATTACTTACAGATATTTGTAAAGACGGGCCAAAACAGATGAGCATAGGTAAACTATCCTCCTGTCTTATATATTGCTTGATTTGCGTAAAAAAATTACTTGGACTGAAACGACATAGCAAAAGGTGACAAAAAATAGACAAAATACTTATTCACACTATGTGGGCTTTAGATATAATTTAATCAGTTAGATACAATAACAAAGTAAATCTAAAGGTCTATTTTTTTCCCTGTAATTGGTTTCCCGGAAAATGTTTTCCTCATTTTTCAGTGTTTCGTTGTCGTAAAACATATCGTCAATATAATTCATTTTCCTGGTCAACTGAATTTTCTTTGCATTCTCTGAAAAAACGACTTACCATCTGATTTTCCTATAAGTCATTTTACAAACTTTTCACTTCAAAGCAGAAACAATCAAAACATTATTATTTTATATATTTAATATTAATATATTATTTTAGTATCATTTTATAAAATATTAATTATTAAATTATATTTATTGATAATTTTAATAATATAATATTATATTTTATTGTTATAACTATATTATTATAATATGTAATATTATAAATTTCTTTTAATAATATAATAAATTATTATAAAATTAATATTATTTATTAATTTTATAAAAATAATATTATTTATTGTTGAATATTTAATATATATTCCTTAAAATATAATATAATATTCTTATTTTAATATTATAATTTTTAATATTTAATAATAACATTATTGAATAAATAATTAATATAATTAATAATCTTTTATTCTTTTCAATAAATAATCAATATAATTTATAATTATTTTATTTTAAGAAAATATAATAATATAATTTATAATATTATAATTTTTAATATTTTAATAATAACATTATTGAATAAATAATTAATATAATTAATAATCTTTTATTCTTTTCAATAAATAATCAATATAATTTATAATAATTTTATTTTAAGAAAATATAATAATCATAATATTTTTATTTATAAAATTATAGATATAATATTTTAATAATAATATTGGCATAAATAATATTGAATAAATTATATTAATATTTAAAAAATATTATTATTTTTTGTTAATAAATAATATTATTTATTATATTTGAGGTTTATAATTAGATTTTTTTTAAAAAAAATTACTAACCATTGAAAAATGAATTACACAACATCATCCAAATATCGTAAAATTATTTTCAAAAAATATTTTTTAGGAAATGTAATTCATTTTACGAATTTATTTTTCAAAATTTATTTTTTGTGAAACAAACAGACCCTAAGATTGAGAATATATACAATAACACTTACGACATTTTTTATTGGCTAAATTATATTATTATTCACCAAACTATAATCACGTTTTTACTCTAATCATCAATTATATTACCTTTTTTATTTTAACGTTTGACCGTTAAAAAATAATGATGATTTTCGTGGAGATTTTTTGTGTGTATATATATATATATATTTCTCCATATAAGCAGTCCACACGTTATTTTTATATTTTTGGTGATCAAAGTAAAAGATGATAATAATTCAGTGATTGATAGTATGGTTTGCCATTTTATTTGAATATGGACAGGGACAGGTTAAAACAACAAGGACTGGACAAAAGTGAAAATTCGCAAATATTTTGGACTTGAGCTGATAATAAAATAAGATTGGTGGCATGATAGCGGCAATAAGAAAATATATGCATACATGATAATCACATGGTATGAAAATACTTAAATAAAAATTAGTAGGTAATTTCGAACATTTCCTCCCAGTTTTCCAGTGTTCTGTTTCTGTGCTGTTTACTTGTCCTTGTGATGATCAAAGACAACCTTGCCTATGGTTCTTTAAGTCTTCTCTGTGTTTATTCGGGTGAGTCTATGGCCTTTTTTCATATAGTTTTAATGTTTTGTGCTTTCTATATTTTGTATACTATTATTGTTGAATCCGCAAGGGTTTTGATGAAGTTCATTGTTTTTTGACCACGGGTTTCTGATTTTGTTTAGATCTAATTATGAATTTTAGTCCGAACTGATTGTGGGTTTGATTTTATTTTCTTGGTAATATTCATTCTGGGGTTTTGATTTCGTTGATTTTGCTAATGAATGGATCTGGATGTATAAGATTTTATTCTCAAGCTCCTTTCCCCATCTCTTTGAAACCCTCCCCCTTAAAAATGAAAAAAAAAACACACTATTTAAGTTTTGGAGTTGATTCAAGACTATTATCATGGAGACTTTTTATTGGTTTTCCCCTCTTTTATTTCCCCTGATGGATCTGACTTTTATGCAGACATATATGTTTAAGATGGTTTTAGCGTGTATTGGGTCTCTGCTACGAATTGTACGATGAATTGTCTGTAGAGAGGATGAGCGGGGTTTAGTTATACTTGAACCACTGGAGTATACTGTGAATCGATAGAATGGAGGATGATAACGGGCTTGAGCTTAGCTTGGGTCTATCATGTGGTGCATCATCTGCCAAATCCAAAGGCAAGCTTAGTAGCTCTTCAGATACTAGGACGGAAGAAGGCGATAGAGGCGTCAAGATAGTGGATAACTTCAAAAACTTTCTTCAACCTGGAGCAGAAAAACAAGACCCCAGTGTGGGTTCTCAGAGAAGTGATCCAGTCAAGCCTTCGGAAAATTTCTTTAATGATCTTTCCAAGGGTAACGGTCATGCAGAAGCTTCTGTTAACTTGGATGGTAGAGGTCTCTGGGGTACGAACAGTAATAGATCTGCTGATATCGAGGAAGACAAATGGTCAGAATCGGGTAGTAAACGTAAGATGTGTAATGAGATAAACAATCCGAAGAAGCTTGAAAGAGAAGCTCATCATACTGATTTGCATGAAAAGCCCAAAGCATCACATATCTCCATAACAACAGAAGATGGCTCCACTGCTGAGAATGAAGATGTCGCGGAGTCTGAAGTTGAGGGTTCCACCTCGAGGTTGATTTCACAACATGGTGATGGATCCAAGCGATTTATTGGAGTTAGCGGTTCCCCTGAGGTGTACAAGGAAGTTAAGCTGGGAAACTTGACTTATGGTAACTCATTCCCAATGCAACCAGTCAATGTCATGAACGCACCTTTCTCATTGTCTACAAAGGATTCTAACTCTGTTGGAA